TTATGCTGTATTTCCCTTTTAAAACTGAATGCCTTTAACAGTACCCAGGTCACCTCTTGAATGCTTTGCTGCTTAGAAATTTCTTCCACCAAATACCCTAAATCATCTCTCTCAAGTTCAAAGTTCCACAAATCTCTAGGGCCAAAATGCCACCAGTCTCTTTACTGAAACATAATGAGTCACCTGTGCTCCAGTGGATGGACTTGATGCTCTCAGGGTAGCAGAGGAAGTTATTTTAAGTGATTGGAGGCCCTACTGTAAGCTACAGTAACAGAGAGAGGAAAGGAGAGTTGGGGGTCTGACTCCTGCTCTTGTATCTCCTACTATTGTCACCTCCCAGCTGTATGAGCTTGGGCCATGGTTTAACTTTCCTTGTATCACAGTTTTACCTCTGAAAAATGGGGCAGTACAATGATTCTGAGCTCACAAGCTACTATGAAGATTAAATTAGTTAATACATGTAAAATCTGTAGAACATAGTACCTAACATGGTATAAATACCAACTAGGAGCAAGAGGCTAGGCTGGCAATGAGGGAAAGCGCTTCTCAAACGTGAATGAGAATATGACCCCTGGGGGATCTTGCTAAAAAGGAAGATTCTGATTTTGTGGGTCTAGGTGGGGCCCAAGATTCTGCATTTCTAACAAGCTCCCTCCCCGGTGCTGCTGTTGCCCCATCTATGGGCTTCACTTGGAGGGGCAGGGTTGTAGCAGCACTGATGGCCCATCTGGGAGTGCCTGGTGGTCATCTGTAATGGCATCACGCACACTTGACTGGTGTTCTTCTTGGCTGTAGTTCAGGACTAGAGAGTACATGTTGGGGCTGACCCCAGGGTTTGCTTCTCAAGTGTGGATTGGATAGGAAGGTTCATCTGGCCAGGGGACATGGGGACATTGAGTACTAGCAGTTGCAGCATCTGGAGTCAGCTGTGGGTGCCAGGCTTTGCATGCTGAGGAGTAGAGCCAGGAGGGGGCTGGTGGAAGGGCAGGAGAAGACAGTGAGGCCAGGCAGTAGGTATAGGATGGAGGTGCCAAGAGAGGTGATGGTCAGAGAGGAGCAGTGTCAGTGTATAAACTATGGAGACAGTAAAATACTTACTGCTAAAGTCTTACTGAGTCACATTTTTTTAATGTTTCATGATTTAGAAGGCTTTTTGTTTTCTTGGCAGTGCCTCAAGTACATGATAAACAGCAATTAATTAGAAACATTTTTTATACTTTTCATCAGTAGTATGCCTGGTAAAATGTCACTATGTGTTGCTTTCTGCTGGTGCAGTACGTTCTTGATAGGTGGACCTGAGGCTGGTGGGCTCCCTGGATCACTTGAGTTTCAACTGTAGTCAGCGTGCCGTATGTTCAGCAGGTGGAGGAGAGGCTGTGAGTGCAGGATTCCCACTGAAGGGGTAAAAATCACTCCAAGGAGATTCCCAAGTCCCATTTCCAGGGAGAAGTTAATGTGGCAGTGGGAGAAGCCAGTGGGTGCTTTTTTTTTTTTTTTTTTTTTTTGATGAATGGACATGCCAGATTGAGACAAATTCTACTAAGTTTTGGTCATTATTTCTTTGGGTGACATTCCTCTTTTGTTCAGTAGAGTGTTAGAGTCACACACCTGCATTTCTGACGTATTTAGCATGCTCTTATAGAAACTTTACCTGCTGGTTCTTCATATCCTTCCTCCCAGTTCCTGTGTCAGGGGCCAGGTGCCTCCTTTGAGTTGCATGGGGATGGTACAACTGTATTTCCAGACAGCTCTCGTTTAGAGGTGCAGCACTGGAGTGACAGGTCAGACTGCTTTAGAGACTGTTGTCTACATTCCTGCCATCTCCTCTCTGTGGCTGCTCGTCCTAACCCTGCCCAGTGGCCACCTACATCTTGCCTGTTGGCCACCAGCAGTGGCCAGGAACCATGCTTCTGCTTTGTTCCTCTGGCTGAGCCTGCCTTCTTTTCTTGTGGGAATCAGAACTTGAGTGCATTTATTTAATGGGTTGTCATTAAAAATCACATTTAGATAAAGAGAAGAAAATATAAAACGTTTTCTAACCTCACTACTGCCAACTGTGACCTGAAGAATTTGTGAGATTATGAATTCCTGTAGGTATCACTTAAATTGAGCTTGTTTCTCTGAGAAGCAATGGATTTTTAAAAATCCCTGTCAGAGAAAATAGAGAATAAATTCATTCTACCACCTCTTGGCTTTACTAAATGAGCAAATCATTTAGTGGAACAAGAGCAGTATAATAACCAATGAAATTAGAATTCCAAGGGCAAATAATCTCCATTCTCGTCATTGTAGTGGGTGAGGGGAAGATGGAAGCTTTTCTACACTTTTCTTTTTTTTGAAGTTTTAACTTTGCAAGGTATTATTCAGTTCCCGAATAAGACCATTTGCTAAACTGTGTGAAACTTAGTTGGCTCTAAAAGATAAAACTTGTTTCTCATCATCCCTACAAATTCCCTACAAGGATGTAACTTTGTAAAATTGATTTCTGGTCTCTTTGGTAGACATCAATGTCACATAAATCCACCATGAAACCTGGGTTTCAAATTATGCTGCAAGTTTATTCCTAGGAGTAAGCTGAGGGGACATTCTCAAAGGCAAGTTAGTATTCTTATTCTAGTGACAATTTTACCAGTACTATTCCCTACATTGGTTTTTTAATGTTCTTTCTCTTAATTTGGTCAACATTTGTGTATTTATTTGTTTAACCAATGTTTATTGCTTAAAGGCACATCCCGCCATTTATTTCAATGTCTAGAGCTATCATCCTAGACATTTTGTTTTATCTTTCTCTCTTCCAGCAAATAAAACAAACAGAGGGACAGCCAGGGCTCTAAACTAAAATGAAAATGGAAGCGGATGGGCCATTTTATTGTTTATAGTTGGATTCTGCTTGTGGAAATGAAACTGACAGAGCTTATAAACATAGAGCCAGAGGGGGAAAGGACGTAAACTAAATTTTAGGATGTTAATCTGGACTCTGTCTGGAAAAGAGTATTTCCTTAGTGTACTCTCTTGGGTGAGTACTTAAAGAATACTAATTCACCAACTATCCTTGGGTTCTACAATTTTAGTAGAGATAGAGTTTAATTCTGTGTCTGATAGATAATTTTACTTGTCTTTTCACTTCTTAGTTGACAGTATGTTTTGTAATAGACGTGGCTTTAAATTCTTCCTTTTAAATGTAGTCATTAACATATGTTTCTCTATGTTGCTACCACCATGATCAGCGTTGCTAAGAAAATAATTCATTTTATTGTATATGTCAACAGAAAATTATTTTCCTTTAGTGATTTCTACAGGCATTAAAATGAGCAATCTGTTCTGCAAATCCTGAAGTGCATTTTGGCATTTTTTCTATAGTACTTTGCCAACATCTATAAGCACCATTAAAATCACCATCATTAGAAAAGACTTTTAGAACAACTCAAAATGCAAGTGGAAGAAATATCTGATGCCAAGCCCAGATGGGGTTTTACTAAGTACTATTTCAAAGATAAATTAGTTAAAAAAAATTTTGGGGGGTGGGAAAAAAAGCTTTTTTAAAAAAAATAAATAGCATAACTATTTGCAATTACGAAAAAGTACTTTGCACTGTCTTTCTGACTTTCTGTGTTGGAGCTCAAATCTTCTAGACCAACTGGTCGGGATTACTTTTACAGGTTCTAGATGGTAAGGCCCTCAAATCAAAGCCAACCCCAGCATGCGTTTTTTATGACTTCACGTTGGTCTGACATGTATACTAAACTTAAATATTTAAATGTAAGTTCTGTGCTGTTTCCCTTGGTTTCACTGAAGCTCCTGTGATACAACTAAATAGTGTCTATTATAAAAAGTAGGCTTTCTTCAAATCATAGTCTTTCAGTCTTCAAAGGACATTTTTCGATAACTTCTTGCTGGCGGTTATCATTCAGTGGCATAAGGAGAGTCACATTTGAGTGGGAGTCTGAGGCTTTGTTTCTCACCTTGCTTTGCCTTCATTACTGCGTGATCTGGGGTCACGTTCTGGGCCTTCATCTCCTCATCTGTAAAATGAAGAGGTTGCTCTCGATCGTCTGGAAGCTCCCTTTCCACTTGAAGTTTCTCTAAATCCTTGGACCACGGCTGTTAACGTTCACATCATGTTCATCTGCTACAGTGCTTTGTTTAATTACATCTCAGTACGTTTTTTAAGCAAATTACTTTGGTCTCACAGGCTCATTGTCAGTCATCCTGTCCTTTTAAAAGTTTTGCTTTTCCAACCACAAAGACATTTGGAAAGCTTGCCCTATGGATTACATCTCTACCCTAGCTCAAAACAATTTGAAATAATGGGGAAGACTGATTATAATCTAGACACTAGCATGGCTGCTGATTATCAAGCTGTGTTCCTAGCAATCTCACAAGTCTCATAAGTGCTACAAAGTGTGTTAAGAATGGTCTGGTGCTGTTTTGTTTTGTTCAAATAGGTTGAGCAGAATCCTGGGGAAATAAGCATAATGTCAGGTTCTGCAAGAGAGTGAGGTGGCAATAGAAGGGTGTGTGCTTTGTTGTCTTAGGTTTTTAGATCGCCGATACCCATAGTCTAGTACGCTTCATTAGGCTTCCTGATTTCTCTGCCTTTGCTCAGTCAGCAGGACGTTGCTTGCATGCACTTCCTTAGGCAATTTGAAGCCTACCACATGGCATTTTATATATGGCAACTAATACAGTGTTAACTGAAGTAAACGTGAAAAATGAGCTTGATCCTTAATTGCTTATGTGTGCAATGTTCTTCCAAAATACTTTGTTTTTCATGTATATAGTAATGCATTTCAAAAAACACAGCATTTTTGGAAAGAGGATGAGTTTGGGAGTCGGAGGCTGTGTAGTCTTTTTGGATCTTGACCTCTAGCTATCCCTGGATTCACAGCCACTCAGGTTATTTTCAGGTTGGTGTGTATGCTGTATAACCCAAGTTGCAGCACCAGTGAAATGGTTCACATTCGACTAATGAAGAATTGTGTGGGCTTGTTTTGGTTCAGGTAAGAAGAGTTCCTGGGTCAAGTGGTCACCTTCATAAAACCGAAGATGGGGACTGGGAGTGGAGTGACGATGAGATGGATGAGAAGAGCGAAGAAGGGAAAGCAGCTTTTTCTCAGGAAAAGGTAAATGACATTGTTGATGATGAGCTCATCTGTGTAAATTTTATTTTTGTGATCGTGTGTGTTATATATATTAATGGATACGTAATTGTTTTACAGTCACGAAGAGTAAAAGAAGAAAATCCAGAGGTGAGCTGCAGCTATTTATCTATTATTTTGCCATTTAATTTCTTTCTTGGTGTATCAGAGTCTGATCCATTTAGGGGAGATGCTTCAAAATCTCACAGAGTAGAAAGAAAGAGGAAAGGCACGTGGACTTTGCAGCTCTTGATTCTGTCCGACTGACTTTGGGCTGAATAAATCCGGGCAAATTGCTTTCTGAGCCTGTTTCCTCATCTGTCAGATGAGGATGATCCCAGTACTTATAATAAAGTTGCCATGAAGATTGGCAATCACGTACACAAAACCCTCCCTGGAATCCTTGACACAGACTAAGTAATCAATTAATTTTAACTCTTAGGATTACTGCCTTTAGAAAACATAGTAAGCATACAGGCAAAATGTTTTCCGCGGTTTTTGTTTGCAATGAAGTAGATATTAAAATGGTTAGAAACTCTTGGTTGAATCTGTTGGTCTTGGTTTTTAAATCTTCTGAATGATACCTTAGTAGGTTAAGGAGCACTCAAAAAATTTCAACAGCTTCCCTTTGAGGCCTGGTCATCTTTTGATTAAGAGATCATATTTGATTTACTTCCTCCATCTGGTTAATTATCCTAATGCCTAATGACTAATGATAACTGTAGTTCACAAAACTTGCTAATTCTCCTAGAGGAAATTTGAGCATATTTAAATAGCTCCAAATATTTTACAGACCTAGTAATTAATGCATACCTTAATAAATTCTCATTAAGAAAACAAAAAAACTTTGGGCTATAAATGATATCCATCCCAATTTTTTTTAATTAGCAGACATTTCCTTTTGATTAAATGTAGTACCTCTCATCATTGAGTTTGAAGTGGCAGTAGCCAGCTGGATCTTGTAAGGAAGAGGGCAGCAGAGCCACAGGCCACCCTTTCTTCTCCTTTTCTTTCCTCTCACCCTTCTGTCTCCATCTTTCATGCCATATGGATAGGCCTTTCCTAGGCATTTTCCAGCTTGCCTGCCTCCCCATGGTGGCTCTCCTTCAGATTTTGTTTTCTCTTCTGTTTATCATTTAATTCACCTCTCCATTTCATACATAAAATATAAACTTTGGCCAGGTGCGGTGGCTCACTCCTGTAATCCCAGCACTTTGGGAGGCTGAGTCGGGCGGATCACGTGAGGTCAGGAATTGGAGACCAGCCTGGCTAACATGGTGAAACCCTGTCTCTACTAAAAATACAAAAATTAGCTGGGCGTGGTGGCAGGCGCCTGTAATCCCAGCTATTTGAGATTATGAGAATCGCTCGAACCTGGGAGGTGGAGATTGCAGTGAGCTGAAATTGTGCCACTGCACTCCAACCTGGGTGACAGAGCCAGACTCCGTTTCAGAAAAAGTGTGTGTGTGTGTGTGTGTGTGTATATATGTATATGTGTGTGTGTGTGTGTGTGTGTATGTATATATATATAAAAGCTTTGATCAGAGACCTCATCGCCCTTTGTTAGGAGCAGTGGTGATGAGCCCCACATGGAACACATTGGCTACACCGATGTTGTGCTGTTTTCAGAATGATCTTAACCACGTATCATGAACTGTGCTTCTCCTTCCTTTCTCGCATTTTATCTAAGGTACAGAGTCTAGGCTTTTCTGCTGTTTCTAAGAGTGTCTCTTACTAAAAGTGTCAGTTCTGCTGAGAAATAGAACAAAATAACATGGTTAAAGTAGCATCATCGACTCACAAAGCATTTGTTATTCACTGCAAGAAATCTTCATTGGATGATATCCATTGGATCCTGCCTTGCTAGTAAGGCTGGTGGGTACAGGTCATAAGGATTTAAGATAATCTCTCACTGTGTGCTTGTTGAAATTGCTCTGAAAGCTGATTTGTTATTTGGAGAATAGCAGTATCTTTTTGGCAAGAATATTTTCTGCACAGACAGGAAGGGAAAGACTGTAGCATGCTGTGAGTTGATCTTCAGGCATCAGTTCTGACCTTCTTAAGTGGGATATGAAAGTCATAGGTGGTTTACTGCATCTAGACTCGTTTGATTTCTCAGCGCCGTATGTCTGTTAATGTATTGATTTATAATTAAAGAAGCATATGAATAGACCTCTTATTTCATTGAAAGGATACATGTGTTTGCATGTAAACACTTCCACCAAATTTTAGGAATAACAAGCCCCACCTGTTACTGTACAGCTTCTCAGGCTAGATTTTTGATACCTGTTCCTTTGACAGCCTTGACATTTGATTATCTTGAGCTGTATTAAGAGATACTACAGTGATGCTTCCTGTGTCCTTTCAGCTTTTAATTAAAGTATCCCTTTGCCAACTACCCCAAACTGCTTTCTGTAAGCAAAGCATGAAGTATTTATCTATTATAAAGGAAATTAAAAAGTGTTAAATATGTAAATACTCAGCAAATATGTATTATGTTCCTACTATGTGCCCTGTCTTAGTAGGTTTAAGGGATACATCAGTGAGAAATACAGAGCAAAATCCCTGTCCTTGTGGAGCTCACATTCTTATGGGAGTAGGTAAACTATATAATAGCCTTAATAAGGAAGTAAATTATGTGGTTTATTACAATGGAATAGGAGTGATAGAAAGAAACAATGGGATGGGGGCTTCAGGGAGTGTGGTGGGAGGTTATAATTTTAGATGACTTGGCCAGGATAGGCCTTACTGAGAAGAGACAAAGAATAATTATTTGAAAATCATAGGAGAATGACATAGAATAAAAGCTGAAAGACTACTTTTATACTGCTCCCCTTTTCACTCCTGTGACTGTCACTTCGTTCCACAGAAGTCATCCGTTTGAGCAGTTTTCTTCCAGACCTTTTCTGTTTCTTTCCGTACTAATATGTTCGTTAAAAAAATCTAGCATGTCATTTTAAAAACACGAATGGAATTATAAAAACTAGAAAATATTTTTGCAACTTGCTTGATTGTTTTGGCAATCTTTCCACCTTAGGAACTATCGATCTGCCTCTTTTTTATTTACTGGCACATAGTATTGTATTAGATGAATGAAAATTGTTTATTTAACCATTTCCTTCTTGGTGAGCACTTAGGCTGCTATTACAAACATCATTCCCTTAACTTTTTTGTGTATGTATTTCAGGGGGCACATAGATAAGTAAATCATAGGTACTTAGATTGTGATTGCTTTGTTTCTGTGTCTGCTGATTTTGAATTTGTGTAGTTGTTATCAATAGCTGTACCAATCGATATATTCGGCTTCTGACAGAGCCCCTTATACCTGTCAACATATTTGAGAGTGAAAATGCTTTTCTGTGCCAAATAACACATTTAAATGCCAGAGTATTTACATTTTAATAAGCTTTTTCGTGTTTGTCATTACATTGCAATTCAGTTGTTTTTCGACTATACGCCACCAGAAGATTGAGATAGTATTTTATGAAAAAAATGAAAAACATGAAAGTTTGTGTTTCTTTTGCATCTAGTAGACACTGTACATGTTCACTGATGACATGAATTGGGTATGCACTGCAAGTCAAATATTAAACAGGTGCATGAGTAGGCATATATTATTTATGAGTAGGTCAGAAGTGACCCGAGGGATCAGAAGACATATGATTGAGGTGAAGTTCAGAAAAGTAACTTTGTTAGTACCATGTTTAGACAGAGTAAGGTGCTACAATGAACTAGGGATATTTTAGGAATGCTTAATGAGTGAGGGGCTGTTTGTCCTCCCAGTAAGTGTGAGGTAGAATGTCCAAGTATTACAGTATTAATTGGAGAAGACTCAGAAGGCCAGAGTGGGATGTTTGTCAGTCAGAGGGACATTGAGAAGATCCACCTTATCCTGGGCCATATTTGGAGATCCTCCTAAGTCCAAGAGAATTTCCAGTATAATCTGTAAGATTTTAGAGTTGCAGTACTTATCTTGGGATTCAGATCTGGCTTGAGATTCGTAGCCATCCACATTGAAAAATTGGCCCTGTGTTCCTAACACTTTATACTGATACTTTAGAACTATCAGAGTATTTAAAAAGGATGAGTTCGTGTCCTTTGTAGGGACATGGATGAGGCTGGAAACCATCGTTCTGAGCAAACTATCGCAAGGACAGAAAACCAGACACCACATGTTCTCACTCATAGGTGGGAATTAACAATGAGATCACTTGGACACAGGGCGGGGAACGTCACACACCCGGGCCTGTCGTGGGGTGGGGGGCAGGGGGAGGGATAGCGTTAGGAGATATACCTAATGTAAATGACGAGTTAATGGGTGCAGCAAACCAACATAGCACATATATACCTATGTAACAAACCTGCATGTTATGCACATGTACCCTAGAACTTAAAGTATAATAATAATAAAAAAAGAAATATCAAAGTATTAGTCACCCACTAGTACTTAATAATTTATAGTAAGTGGATAGCTCATCCTCATTTCATTTATTTATCATCATACTCTACTTGGTCGATGGAAGCCAGTGAAGACTAAAGGTTAATAATAATGCTAATATTAATAACAATTAATTAAACAGATGTTTAGTCTGTGCCTGATTTCCACGTGGAACTGTGTTAGGCAATGTGGGAATTTCATAAAAGCAAAGGGAGCCCCCTAGCTGGACACTTTTCATCTCTTTGGGGGTCAGGGGAAGGGGTGGTATTTGCAAGGACAGTTTCCTTAGGTAGTGTTTCTTAGTTACATAAAACTTTTCAACTGTTATCCCATTATGTTTTTGTCAAAAATAATAAGTACATGTTTTATGACTTTTTCTCAATTTTGCATTATATCCTTATTTTCCACATAACAAGTGAAATTGACTTTATTTTTAAATTTGTAGTTTCATTTGGGTTCATTTAACTGAGGAGGGCATTTGCTAAGGCTTCCATTAAAGTTGCATTCTTTTTTATAGTAGCATCTCAGTTAGGTGACATGAAAATAAACAATTCACAACCCTGACTGGAAACCTTTAAAAATGCAGTGTCTAGACTCAACCCACAGATTCTGATTTGGTAATTTGGGGTGATGTCCAGGCAACTCTTGATTTTTAAAAAGCTGCTCACAGGATTCTGATTCACAGCTAGGATCAAGGACTGGCTAGGAAAACTGCACAAATCCCTCGGAATCCGGAAGTCCAGACTGGAATCCAGGAAACTGGTGTGCTCAAAATTCCTGAAGATTTGTTTTAAATGTCTGTCAGAAATTTCCAAAATAAAAATAAGAAAAAAGAAAATGTTTCAGAAATCCCTTGGAAAAGTTGTCTTTATTTAATCAAGGGTAATGAAGCAGGTGGGAAAGGTTTCTGGCTGAAGCCCAGTAGGGTTCACAAAAGGTACATTGAAAAGTTTTGTTATCAAGACTCTAGACTTGGCTAATTATGGAAATGTTTCTGTTTCCTAACTCTGGGAGTTTGCTCTGAGGAGAAAATACATTTGGTATTTAAATAGAGTTAATTTTATTAGAAATTAATTGCAATGTGAAAACTAATTTTTCCCTTATATTACTTATTGCTATTGTCACATTTTATTTAAGACTGCTGTTAGCTTTTAAAAATTATTTTTATGGGCCAGGCGTGGCGGCTCATGCCTGTAATCCCAGCACTTGGAGTCTGACGCGGGTGGATTACCCGAGGCCAGGAGTTCGAGACCAGTCTGGCCAACATGGTGAAACGCTGTCTCTACTAAAAATACAAAAAATTAGCTGGGCGCGGTGGCATGTACCTGTAATCCTAGCTACTCAGTAGGCTGAGGCAGGGGAATCCCTTGAACCCAGGAGGCGGAGGTTGCAGTGAGCTGATACACGCCACTGCATTCTAGCCTAGGCGACTGAATGAAACTCTGTCTCAGGGAAAAAAATATATATATATGTGTGTGTGTGTGTGTGTGTGTGTGTGTGTGTGTGTATTATTTCTATGAAAACATGTTTTCCAAATGCCCGTACGCTGTCAAACATGTTTGTTCTATACCCATATGGAGATGGAGAGAGAGATTTGATTTCTCCCTCCACTTTTATTATGGTTATCCTTAGTCATCACAGACTGCTTTAACCTGATATTTTCATGATACCACTTTCTAAAAGATGTGGTTATTGCAGGTGACTGCCCTTCTGAGTAGTTGTGAGGAAAGGTAGATATGTTACCAGAAATCTGCAGTATATCTGAAAGTGAACTTCCGATTTTGGAATAATTTTCGGTTTATAGAAACGTTGCCGAGACAGTGCAGAGTTCCCATATACTCTTAACACAGTCTCCCCCACTGTTGATTTCTTATGTAATCCTGACAAATTTGTTACAACTCAGAAACCAGCGCTGCTGTGTGACTGTTAACTAAGCCCCAGAATTTATTCCAATGTCACTAGTTTGCCTACTAATGCCCCTCGTTTTTGCCAGGATCCTATCCAGGATAGCACATTGCATTTAGCTATAATATTTGCAAAAGCAGAAAAGGAGTTCGTTAGGCAGAGCTCTATGAAAAATTGGAAAGCAGATGTTGTCTCTTTCTTGTCTCCATCGTGAGATCTTTTCCTCTCTTATCCTGTTCTAAATCCCCATCAAAGTCTATTGCCATGGTGGTGGTCAACATTAATTCATTGTTTTTGCCTCCTCCTCTGATATGGTTTGACTGTGTCCCCACCCAAATCTCATCTTGAATTGTAACTTTCATAATCCCTACATGTCATGGGAGGGACCTGGTGAGAGGTAATTGAATCATGGCGGCGGGTTTTCCCATGCTGTTCTCATGATGGTGTATAAGTCTCATGAGATCTGAGGGTTTTATAAAGGGTAGTTCTACTGCACACACTCTCTTGCCTACTACCATGTAAGATGTGCCTTTGCTCCTCCTGTGCCTTCTGCCGTGATTGTGAGGCCTTCCCAGCCATGTGGACCTGCGAGTCCATTAACCTCCTTTTTCTTTATAAATTACCCAGTCTTGGGTATTTATTCATAGCAGTATGAAAGCGGACTAATACACCTTCCCATCAAAACACTCATTCTCTCAAATGTCCATCCTATAGCAAATTGTTTAAAAGGAAAAGAAAAACCCTGATAAATTGACAGCTGCGTAATGTGTTAGATTTCTTACAAGTTTTTACGCTTAGAAGAGTATACCCAAAAGACCATGCCCTAATCCCATAGAATGGATCTGTAGTAGTGACATTTGGAGGAATACAGTTTGTTGTCAAGGAAGATGTTTTGTACAGAGGCTTCCTGTATTAGGCCATCTTTGCATTGCTACCTGAGAGTGGATTATTTAGAAAGAAAAGATTTAATTGACTCACGGTTCTGCAGGCTGTATAAGCATTGATGCTGGCATCTGCTCAGCTTCTGGGAAAGCCTCAGGGAGCTTTTGCTCATGGCGGAAGGCGAAGTGAGAACAGGCACATAATTTGGTGAAAGCAGGAGGAACATAGAGAGTGGGGAGGAGGTGCCACACACTTTTAAATGGCCAAATCTCATGTGAACTCAGAGTGAGAACTCACTTATCACCAAGGGAATGGCCCAAGCTATTCATGAGGGGTCCACCCCCATGATCCAAACACCTGCCATCAGGCCCCACCTCCAACATTGGAGATGACATTTTTTTTTCTTTGTTTTTGAGACAGAGTCTCACTTTGTCACTCAGGCTAGAGTGCAGTGGCACGATCACAGCTCACTGCAATCTCCGCCTCCTGGGTTCCAGTGATTCTCGTGCCTCAGCCTCTCAAGTAGCTGGGACTACAGGCGCAAAGCACCACACCTGGCTAATTTTTGTATATTTAGTAGAGAAGGGGTTTCGCCATGTTGCCCAGGCTGGCCTCGAACTCTTGGCCTCAAGTGATCCACCCATCTCAGCCTCTCAAAGTGCTGAGATTAGAAGCATGAGCCACCACGAACATGAGATTTGGGTGGGAACAAATATCCAAACTATATTACCTCCCTGTCCAGCTTTCCTGTGCATCTCTGCACATTTTCTGAGGAATTACCATATTGCTTGTACATCAGAGTGGAGGCTGGTCCCCTCATTGTATTCAGGGTTACACCTACACAGTGAGGTTGCAGGGTGTGTGTGGGGTTCCAGCCCCCCACTTAGTTGATTAGCCCTCCATCCTGATGGTTGTGCAGGGCAGAAGATGGGTCTCCCCAGGGGAAGCAGAAGTTTTTACCTCTTAGTAAATGCCACTAAGGTTTTTCAGGTTACAGTAGTTCTTTGACTAAAGGAAGTCACAGTGCTGTTTATAAGTACTGATGTGGCCTTTGGTTGTACCACAAATTTAAGTTAAGATTGTGGAATCACGCTGAAAGATTCTTTACAAGAAACCATTTGAAGTAGGCCCAGATCCTCTGGCTAGTTAATGAATACAGGTAGTTTGTTCTTCTAACATAGTCATTTTCCCCTAACATCTTATTGTAAAAATAAATATAGCAACATTAAAACATTGTATAGTGAACCCCATATACCTATAATCTAGGTATCATCATTACTGTATTTGCTCTGTCACATATATATCCATCTATTCATCCTTCAGTCCATCTTAACTTTTTGATATGTTTCAAAGTAAATTGCAGACATCAATATACTTCTCCCTATTACTTAACTACCACCATAGTTATTTTGGAAGAAGCATGGAGAGTAAGAATTTTATGCTCTTAAACTTTAGAAGGCTCTTCCCACAAATAATTTTTGATGATTTCTGATTTAGAAT